TTAAGTGTTTCACAGTTTGCAAAGGAACATCAAGTATTTTTTGAATTTCATTCTAACACCTGCTATGTCAAATCTCAGGCTACCAAGGAGATCCTTCTCCAAGGCAACCTTAAGAATGGTCTATATGCTTTTGATGGAGCACAGAAGCCTTCAAGGTTTCCTACTGCAGCTACTTCAAGTTCACCTCCACCTCGTGTTCCTACATTTTCTGTAGCTAAACCTGTCCTATCTTGTAATAATACCTCTAAAGTTTCTACTTTAGATCTATGGCATTCGAGATTAGCTCATGCTTCTTTTCAAACTGTCAAGTTGGTTCTTAAACATTGTAACATACCATTTGTCAATAAAACTGATTCCCAATTATGTTGTGCTTGTTGTATGGCCAAAATGCACCAACTTCACTTACCAACCACTAACACAGTTTACTCCAGTCCCTTGGAACTTGTCCTTACTGACATTTGGGGTCCAGCACCTATTGAAAGCACTTTAGGTGCTCGTTACTACATCCTGTTTGTAGATGCATTTTCCAAATATACTTGGCTTTACCCTATGACAAACAAATCCCAAGCTTACAATATTTTCATTCAGTTCAAAACTATGGTTGAATTACATCTTAATACTAAAATAAAATCTCTCCAAAGTGATAATGGCAGAGAATTCCTTAAATTCACTCCCTATCTACAACAACAAGGTATTATCCATCGTCTCACATGTCCCTACACTCATCAACAAAATGGCCAACCCGAAAGAAAGCATAGACATGTTGTAGAAACTGGTCTAGCTCTCTTAGCTCAATCCCACTTACCAACCAAATACTGGGCTGATGCCTTTCTTTATGCTGCACACGTTATTAACCTTTTACCCACCCCCAGCCTAAATAACAAGTCTCCATTTGAAACCCTGTTTCACAAAACACCTGATTACTCATTTCTTAAAACCTATGGTTGTGCATGCTATCCCTACCTCAGACCCTATAATAGGCACAAAATTGATTTTAGATCAGAAAAATGCACCTTTATTGGCTACTGTACAAATCAAAAAGGTTACAAATGTTTAAAACCAACTGGTCAGGTCATTTTTGCACGACATGTTCTCTTTGATGAGTCTCAATTCCCTTTTCTTCAATCCTCAGTTTCTCCCACACTCTCAAACAGTGAGCCACCCACTTTTCTCTCTACTCCTGCTATCCCTATCCTGCCTACTAATACCAGTCCACACAATGTAACTGTTCCTTGTCCTGTCCCAATCATAGCTCCTATTACTCACCCCTCTATCTCTCCTAATTCTTTAATGAGTGATTCTATTAATGATTTTTCTGTTAGTACATCTAATCCTACTTGCAGATCCTCTATGTTATCTGGCAACAGTTGCAGGTCTGCTCCACCTTTACAAGTTCCTGTGGCACCTCCAACTCATCCTATGCTTACTCGAGCCAAAGCTGGCATCTTTAAGCCAAAGGCATACTTAGCCTCTTTGGCACCTACTTCTGTATCTCAGGCTCTAGCTGCACCCTACTGGTATAAGGCTATGCAAGAGGAGTATGCAGCCTTACTCAAAAATAATACCTGGAAATTGGTTCCTATGCCTTCAGATAGGTCTCCAATAGGCTGTAAATGGGTATTTCGCACCAAATTTCATCCTGATGGCAGCATCCTAAAATATAAAGCCAGGCTAGTGGCTAAGGGGTTTCACCAACAAGAAGGTTTTGATTATCAGGAAACCTTTAGTCCTGTGGTGAAACCTGCTACCATTCGGATTGTCCTCACTGCTGCTCTCTCTAGAAAATGGCCTGTTCACCAGCTGGATGTGAACAATGCCTTCCTGAATGGTGATCTTCAGGAAGAAGTATACATGCAACAACCTCCAGGTTTCATTCATAAAGATAAAACCTTGGTGTGCAAGTTAACTAAGGCCCTATATGGCCTCAAACAGGCACCACGTGCCTGGTTTGACAAACTCAGTGGCACCCTACACAGACTGGGTTTTGTCACTGCCAAATGTGACACTTCCCTATTCATCTCCATTACCCCTACTGCTACTCTATATGTCCTAGTCTATGTTGATGACATCCTTTTCACTGGTTCATCCTCCTCTGCTATTCAGTCGCTAATTCACTCTCTCAATGATGCTTTTGCTCTCAAGGATCTTGGTCACATTCACTATTTTCTGGGTATTGAAGTCACCAAGTCTGCATCTGGTGGTCTGCATCTTCACCAATCCAAGTACATTCTGGACCTTCTCAAGAAAGCTAACATGGAGAACTGCAAGTCTATGCCGACTCCTATGATGTCCAGTGCCAAGCTCTCCTCTCGTGATGGATCTCCACATCCTGACCCATCTCAGTATCGATCTATTGTTGGGGCTCTTCAATATGCCACCATTACTCGTCCTGAAATCACATTCAGTGTCAATAAAGTCTGTCAGTTTATGCATGTTCCTTTGGATACTCATTGGAAGGCTGTTAAAAGGATACTATGTTACCTGAGTGGGACGATTTCTCATGGGTTAACCATCAACCCATCATCAAATTTTCACCTGGCTGCTTATTGTGACTCTGATTGGGGCTCGGATCTTGATGACCGGCGTTCCACAAGTGGGTTCTGTGTCTTCTTGGGTTCAAATCTTGTCACATGGTCTTCTAAGAAGCAGCATGTGGTCAGCCGCTCGAGCACTGAGGCGGAATATCGTTGTCTTGCTGCTACCGTCGCTGAGCTTACTTGGATCCAGTCTCTTCTCTCCGAACTTCGCATCTGCCTCCCAAGATCTCCGGTTATCTACTGTGATAACCTCTCTGCTGTTCTCCTCACAGCGAACCCCATTTTCCACTCTCGGACCAAGCACTTCGAGCTGGATCTCCACTTCGTCAGGGAGAAGGTGCTCAGCAAGGCTATGTCGGTGCACCATGTTCCAGCCGTTGATCAAATCGCTGATGGCCTTACCAAGGCTGTGTCTCAAGTCTCCTTCCTTACGTTTAAGTCCAAGCTTCGCGTGCTGGACTCCAAGTCCAAGCCCTCTTCAGCTTGCGGGGGAGTGAAGGCTATAGAGGCCCTGAGGCCCAGCCCAACATCACTCAGCTAGTCTGTTTGTATTGTTAGTTAGTTAGTCTATTAGTTAGGCTGTTAGTACTGAATGGTTGAGATCATTCAGTTATTAATGTATGGCTGTGATTTATCTAGGCTAAGAGTATATATGCTAGAGTTACACACCTATATGTAAGTTAACTTTCATTTTCAATATCAGATTACAATTTTCCCTTTTCTTCTTCTCTCAAGTCTGATACCTCACAATGAGTAAAAATATAAATTAAAAAGACATTCAAGAGAATTTTCTTTGGGATACGGTCCTGTAGGCTAGTCCCTTATTGGAAGGGCGGATGCATTGAGCTTCCCTATCGGAGGAAGGATGAGACTAATCCCTCTATTCAAGGAGAGAGACACATTCTCTGGCTTCCAAGAATTTGCTTGAAGCAGGATTTGAACCCCTGACTCAAGCAAACCCTTGGGAGCTCAGTTATCCTTGAGGATTACATTTAAGAGAAATTAAGATTACAAATAAAGTATGCATAATTAATTTAAACAAATTCAAAAAATGTATACATTTAAAAATATTTAAAAGTATAAAATCTATGCATAATCAATTTAACAGAATAAATTAAAAAATTAAGTTAAGATGGTAGAATCTCATTTAATATATAAAAGTGATTTTTTTTCTTTTTTTTTTATTTTTTAATTGTATCAGTTAACTTTTTAAATGAACGGGTGGCATGAAGATTTAAAGGAGTAATACAAATAGTTGAAGTGATAATATTAAATAAAAAGTTAATTTTTTTTCCCACAGCAATCATGAAATAAAATAATACGTAAATACTAAATACTATAATATAAGGGAGAAGTAAAATGTTTCTTTCACAAGATTTATTTTATGCGAAAAAGTATGTGTCATTTTAAAGAATGTAAAGTTGCGTTATTTTAAAAGAGAGAAAGAGATAGATAAAGGAGGAGAGAGAGTTGACAAAAAAATAAAGTTGTGGGTTCCACCTCTTTGTGAGGGTAAAATGACACAAGTTATGACATTTAAAAGGATAAATACTTTTTCCTTATTTTGTTGTGGGTTTAGTATTTGTTCTTTTAAAGAACATATAGTTATATAATTTTAAATGAGAAAAAAATACAAGCAATGAAAATCATGAGAGATAGAAGTGACAATATGAGTTGAACCCGTCGGGTCAACACGCCAAAACGGGGCGGGATGAGTTACACATTTCAACCCACCAACTCACCCCGTTGGGTTGTGGGTCAAAACGGGTTGGCGGCGGGTTCGGACGGGTTGGCCAGCCAGGTCAATTTCTTTTTTACCATTAAGTAGTGTTTTATTTGTCTTTAAACTTTTGTGATATCCAATTTTTTGTTATCTTAGTACTCTCTGAAAAAATAAAGAAGAAATTTTTTATTTATAACAAAGATAATTTATATATGGAGACAAAAATAAATTTGTAAAGAATGTATAACTGAATATTAACATACATTTAGGCTTAAGTTTGAAAAAAAAACTAAGAGAAATGTAATATGAAAATAAGTAATATTATAATATTAATAAAATATAATTTATTTTTAGGCGGGTTGACCTGCGAACCCACCATAAAATAGGGCGGGTTGTGATTTTCAACCCACATTCAAGAGGCGGGTTGAGGCGGGCCAATCCACTTTTGGCGGATCAGGACGAGCTGACTCGTTTTGCCACCCCTAATGGTAGAGAAAGTGAATGCTTTTTTTGATTTAAATTTTAAATAAAAAAGTACTAAATTATGTTTTTCTCTCACTTAAAATGACACAACTATTCCTAAAAAACATAATATAATTTACAAGAATTAATAAATAATTTTTTTTATAAATATAATCTTATTCAATGGAAAAATACTATTTATTATTTTTATTTTTTTACAATAAAGAGAAGAGACTTTAAGTTTTGGAATTTTTATTATTTATTCGAGTCTCCCTGTGCCTTAACCCTCAAAGCCTCAACAGCCGTGGCGGCCACACCGCCCAATTGTCTCTGGACTCTGGGTTTAGGGTCTTACGTTCTTCATTTTCGCCTCAACAGCTTCGGTTATTCACCACTATTCCTCAGGTTCTCTCTCTACTTCATTTTATGCTTATCATCTCCCTTTCTTTACCTTTTCGATCTATTACCTAATTAATTGATTAACGCTTAAACGATAATGGGTGATGTTCTATTTTGGTTGAGCTTGAACTAATATACAAGAATGAAACACGGGTCTTGTAAAGCACCACGGCATCCAATATAATACTCTTTATAGAGTTATGGAATTTTAATATTATGAATGCTGGAGCATGGAGTCCTTAATTTTAATTTCGAGGTTTAGGGTTTGCATTCAAAATTGTTGCTGCAGGATTTTCCTTCATGTTCTTTTTGTCGCTATAGACTGTAATGTTCACTCAATGATTTCTATTGCATGTGGTGTATATAATATAACTATAGTACTTCGTAATGTCTATTGCTGTGTTTGATATTTTATCAATTCCTTAGATTATTAAACTTATATAAGTATTCAGCTTGCATTAGTTATAGTATGGACAATTTCATAATGTAAGTTGATAGTAGATACTAACATTATGTATTTCTTAATTTACTTTCTTGAGGTAATAATATTGAATAGTTTATGGGTTTTATAATTGGGAAATCATTGTCTCATTTAACATGAGAATTGAAATTTTCCTACACATCTTTCGATTTCCGTGCTGACATGGGTCCTACATATAATTTTACTAACATATGGGTCCCACATGCTTTTTGTCTCTAGAACATAAGATTTCAATTCTCATTCAACACGAGAATTATAAAACCCATAGTTTATATATTTAATATTTTTGGGTTCATTTCTTTTGTAGAAGTGTTGCTTTAGTCTGGAAGCACAATGAGACTGGAGAAATGCTGGTTCTGTTCTTCTACTGTATATCCTGGACATGGAATCCAGTTTGTTCGTAATGATGCAAAGGTAAATTAAATTATTTCCCTCGGCTGTCTGTCTGTTATCAATGTGCTGGTTCATTTGTGTACATGCCACTCGCGAACTATTTATTATGGAGCCTTTTGCATTTTTGGATCAATTGAAAGATCTGGAATTGAGGTTCTAGTTGCTAGCTACTTTCTAAAGTTGCAGTATTCCACCTTAATTGAGAAGTACTTATCATCTGCATTGTAGTTTGAGATTTTAGTGTCCTTCTTCATGACCTGATTGTCTAATCTTATATGATGTATAGATAGATTTAGTAAATTAGTAGATTGTCTCATGCTTGAATTGATTGCTTAGATCGCCTATCAAGTTCTTTGATTATTTGCTATTTAATTTTGATGAGAACCAAAATCAAATAACACAAAATAGAAAGAAAAACAGTAAGTATTTGTATTGGTTTTTCTGACATCAAGCTGTCACAGGCTTATATGGTGGTTACGGATGAAAAGAAGAAAAACAAACTATAGCAGGCTTTCGAGAGGCCTGTCCTCTCCCAACTAAAACTCCTTACACAATTCTCGCTTCCCCCAAAATATTTCCCCCTTTCCTATTTATCCTTGCTGTTGTAACTAACATCTATGCTACACACACTACACACACAATTCTAACTAATTGGGGTGTAATCCCCTACATCTCTTCCTACATTACACCTGCATTAAATGAGGTTCCTAACACATTTTCATAAGTAATTGGTAGGCTAAAGTTTATGTATATAAAACTCTCTTAATGCCCAAGAGTAATAAGTGACTAGTATATTGATAGCTTCACTACACATGGCATATATGTTCACGTTTCTGACAACTGTTCTGCTTGTAGATTTTTCGATTTTGTAGATCTAAATGCCACAAGAACTTTAAAATGAAGAGGAACCCGCGGAAAGTAAAATGGACAAAGGCATATAGGCGAGTGCATGGAAAGGATATGACACAGGTAAATAAAACTTCCTTTCCCTTGTTTGTCCTGGTCTTATTTGTGTGTTGTTTACTACTCTCTTGGTTTGGAGAAGCTTCAGCACTATTATGTGTCATTTTTAGGATTCAACTTTTGAGTTTGAGAGAAAGCGAAACAGGCCTGAGAGATATGACAGGAATCTCGCTGAGAATGTGCTCAAGGCCATTCCAAAGATTGATAAGATCAGAGTCAGCAGGGAGGAGAGACATCATAAGATTAGGTTATTCTTCGATTCCACTTTATTTATATCAGAAAGCTTTGAAAGGTTTTTTTCTTTTTGCTCTTTGCTGACATTTGCTGAAATCTCCCTTAGGATGAAAGGGAAGAAACAAAAGTTGCAGGCGGAGGCAGTTAGGGAGTTGGAGCAGGGCATCAGTCTGGTCAAAGCTCCTTCTGTGCTTCAAAAGGAGCCGTCTCTTACTTTACCTAAGATCAAAGTTGGGGTTACCCAACAGCAATCAGAGGACAATCATCCCATGGAAGAGTGATATCAATGCTTCACTCCCCCCCACCCCATTTTGATGTTTGTAACTTGTAGCTGGATTCGTTCCTATAGAACTTGTACTGTCTAAATTTTAAGTTGATTTGTTATTGATCTGTAATGTGAATGATTTGATTTTGAAACAAAAGTTTTGGCCTTTTAGGATATGTTAGTGATGTTGTTTTTGCCTGTTGGGTAATGATTCTATGAAATAGTGAACTGTTATATAAAGCAAATGAGGTTTTTGTCATTAGTTTGAACCTGATTATCTTAAGTCAAATGTCACATTTCTAGGAAACTAAAACTTCTGGATCATAGTTGTACAACTGGTGAGATGCACTATTCATATGGAATGGTTTGATATGATTTGGAATGCAAATGATACAAATCAGTGTCAATCGCATGGTAGCCAGAATTACTGTATGAATTGCCGGAATCATGAACATTTGGGTCTCAAAGTCAGGTCAAGGATGACCTGATGTGATACTGAACTTGAATAAAAGGGCAGATAGGCAAATCAGACCCATTCAATAATAGCATGGGAGAAGAAAATCTATTTTAATAATCTATTTTTGCCAATTTACCCTTTACTATGCATGAGAAGAGAGTCGAGGAACAAACTTTGGAATTTGGACTTAGACCATTTGGTTAATGGTTACTAATAAGTTACTGGCCTTTTTTAAGTTAGCTTATATATGAGTTGCTACCTTATCTGGTACTTTTTTTTTGGTAATCACCTTATCTGTTACTTTTTTTGGGTACATACCTTATCTGTTACTTTAATTAGCTTAAAAGTAAAACCTTTTTTTTTCTTGGTAAACAAGTAAAACCTATTTTATTATATTTATAAATCTATATTTTATCGAATTTTCAAATCATAGCTTTATTCTTTTTATCTTATTTATCATATATTTATATTTAGATAAACATTAAATTTATTTGATATTAATTATAAAGTAAAATTAATTTCGTTGGATTTAATTTTACTTTCTATCTAATTTTCATATCCTAGTTTCTTTTTTCTACTATATTTATTTAGGCTTTAATGTTTTTACAGTAAATATAGATAAATTATTTACATTCACTCCCAAAACGACGTCTTTTTGGGCTGAAAGATTAAAAAATCATAATGAGAAAGACTATTATAACTCTGAAATAAATTATAAATACAAAAATATTTTGATTTTCGCCTCAAAACGACGTCATTTTGGGCTCAATGTAGATAATTTATCTACATGGACTGCAGAAAATACGAACCTATTTATTTATTATACATTTGTATTGAAATTATTTTAAATATAATTTTCACTTAATTTTTAAATTCTAATTCTATTCTTCTTGTTTTATTTATTATATGTTTATATTTAGATAAATATTAAATGCAATTAAGATTGACTAAAAATTAACACATTATTTGCATATTTTAAGACATTTTTCATTATATTTCTATACGTAACAATTCTATTGAATTTACGATTAAAAAATAACCTAACCATTCACATTTCACAGCTTTGAATTACGATTCAATAATTTTTGCTATGTAAACTTTATACTTCATTTTTTGTTAAAATAAAAATAAAAAATAAATAAATATAAGTGACAAGAGAGGAAAGTAAAAAATTATCATAGGTCAAATAACAAGATATAGCTTTGGTTCTTCGAACACGTGTCTTTCCCTAGGCATCTCCCTCCACGCAGAGCGATATGGTAGCAACGGCAACCAACCATAGAAATAATAATAAAAAAAAGTGATCATCACACAAGCACACTGTTACACATTACACTAACAGAACATAACAGAACACACGCAAACCCCAAATGGTTTTACTGGTAAGACCTTTTTCTTCTTCTTCTCTGTGTATTCTCCATCTCACAGGTGCAAACCCTAGCCGCACGAAGCCATACCCTAACCGATACGTCGCCGTTCAATGCTCTAGCAGCGTGCAGGAGATACAACAACAGGGGGAATTGGGTTCGGAGCTCCGTGCTTCGCTCCCATTCCCTCCAATCAGGGCGGCGAAGAGGGTGGTGGTTGTGAGGCACGGGCAAAGCACGTGGAACGCCGAAGGAAGGATCCAAGGAAGCTCCAATTTCTCCGTTCTCACTAAGAAAGGCGAGTCTCAGGCTGAGACTTCACGACAAATGCTCATCGACGACCACTTCGATGCTTGCTTCGCAAGGTGCACCTTTCTTCCCTCTCAAAATCCACCTTCCTCCATTGCTTATTGCTTGTTCTGACTTCTTGTGACGTTGGATTTTTGCGCTGTTTCTTCTTCAAAGTCCCTTGACACGATCCAAGAGAACCGCTGAAATCATATGGGGACCTCGCCAAGAACCGATAATTACTGAATTAGATCTGAGGGAAATCGATTTGTACTCCTTTCAAGTATGGTTCAGCTTTGTTTCCTCCACCTTACTTCTTCTTCCTCTTCTCATTATTATTAGTATTATTATTATTATTATGGATTTACGTGTGTTATTTAAAATGATACAAATTGTGTGTGATCATATTCTGCTGAAAAGTTATTTTTTTTTAGTTTATACGTCAGTAGCTATCACTGGGGAGAGAAATTTTTTTTTTTTTCGAAAAACAAAATATAACTGATCATACTTTATGTAAATTATCTATAAGGACATAAATTATGTCCTTTTAAATGATACTTCTTTTTTCCTATTATTATTATTAGTGAAAACTATTTTTACTTTTGCTCCAGGAATATTTTATTTGCCATACTCAATTAAAAGTGAGGGTTCTATCAATTTTTTTTGTCTCTTTTGTTCACGATGAAACTTACTCACTTTGTTGTTAGTGTGTCAGATAAAATATTTATGCAAAAGTTAAACCCTTATTATTATTTATGTGTTTATTGATTACTCGATTAGCTTTATTTGAACTATGTAAGATCATATGGATGACAAAACTATCCCTACTAAGTTTTATTTAATACAACTGCATTCTGAGCTACTTAAACTCGAGATCCTGAAACAACCCCTTATCCTAATGATTCATGTGATTGGTGGTACCTTACTTATTAATAATTCAAAGTTTAAATTTCCAATATTTTGGTCCCTGCATAATTAATTCAAGTATGGTTCAGCTTCTTGTTATTATTATTATTATTTTTTAAGTCAATCGATAGTCCAGACATTATTTACATTTATTATTTGGATGGAAGGATTAAAATATTGAGAAATTGAACTTTGAGAGATCAAATTGATTAGATTAATCTACAAGGGATTGAATTGATAGAGCTTGTATCTTTTAGGGGCTAAAGTAAAATGAGGTTTTGCTAAGGTATGGCCTTGTGGCTTGGTATGACTGGTCCTGTTGTTGCTATATTTTAGGGTCTTTTGAAGCATGAGGGGAAAGAGAGGTTTGGTTCTGCTTTTCGTCAATGGCAGGTGGATGCTGCGAATTTCAACATTGATGGTCATTATCCCGTGAGAGAGTTGTGGGAACGTGCTAGAAGCTGCTGGAGTAAAATCCTAGCTCATGATAGCAGGTCTGTTCTTGTGGTTGCTCACAATGCTGTTAATCAGGCTCTTGTTGCCACAGCAATTGGTACCTGTTTCTCCCTCTATGGAAATTTTGATGATGAAAAGATTGAAATTTTGTTAATTTGAATAGTGTGCTCACTTTTTCTTCCATTCAAAACAATCAGGTTTGGGGGCGGAGTATTTCAGAACTTTACTTCAAAGCAATTGTGGCGTAAGTGTGCTGGATTTCATCCCAAGATCCGAGGGTGGGTCTCCACATATTTGCCTTAACCGCTTAAATCAGGTATATCGACATTTACTATTCTAAGCTTATGTGAATTTCTGCACTTGCAGATTGTGTTATTCCCTCCCTGTAAAACAAAAATTGTTTACTTAAACTTTGTTATAGTGTGCACAGCGGTTTAGGCGGTCATTTGAATAGAATTGAACTGTTAATGCAGACCCCTGGTTCACCTCTTGCTGGCGGGAAATCCGGAGGTCGAGAGACAAGTAAGCGGATCATACTTGTTTGTAATGGATCTACACAGGGAAATACAGAGGTATGCAGCAAAGGCTAAAATGTTTTTGATTAGATAGAACTGGTCAAAGGGTCATCAACAAACATTCTAAAAATTTGATTTTGTTATTTATTCCCGTTTGTTTGAAAGTTATAGTTGATATGGTGAGGGATATTCTGTCCGTTTTGGTCTATTTCTTTCCTAATACTGGTAGCTAAGTGCATTTCAACAAACCCCAAGCAATAATAGTTGAAATATTAAGTAGTTAACCAAGTTCTCTTATGAATCATTCTAACATATGTTTTTTTCTTTTTTTTACTAGAATGTGAAGTATTTTGGAAAGTGTTCAGAGAAATGAAACTGAATTTAAGAAAATGATTGTTGCATGACCAAAAGGAATGTTTACTCAAACATTTTTAATGTGGATGGGATTCTTTAACTGCTTTTCATGTTTCTTCCTTTTTTGCCTTAGCAAGTTATCGAAATCATTATTGCTCTGAAATTTGCACTAGGATAGAAAATTCCCTGAAGTTTTATTCAAATGCATTTCTGCATGTAAACTTTCTAAACAAACTACCTTATGTTAACAGGATGGTTTTCCTTTTGCTGGTGATCAACCGATGAACATGCTTGGTGTTATACAGGTACTGCATCCAATCATCAGAGATAAGTGGGGAAAAGTTTTTTCATCTGATCTTTTGCGTGTGTAACAGTCCCAGAAATCTGCAGAGCTACTTCTTGAGTCGAAAGTGAATTCCATAATTAGCAGTCCTAACAAAGCTTGTGTTGACACAGCCATGACCATCTCCAAGGTAACCTCATTGTTGGTATTTTTCTGTTAGTTCTATCATGCTAAATTCCTATTTCCTATTTTAATCTATTAATTGCAAGTGTTTACATCTACTTCTGAATAGACTCTGGTTTTGAAATGCCTGTTGAATTGCATTGTATGCCTGAACTAGAGAATTTGGACTTTCTTATTTCTATCACTGTTGCTCTCCTCTAATTAAACTGTTAGACATGATTTTAGGTACAAGAAGCTGCAGATTGCTTGGGTGCTGACTGTGTGCCACGCTATGTTGAGATGAAGCAGATGGGGAGCCTTGATTTTGTTACAATCTTTCAACAATTCAAAATGGCAAGTAACTTACAGTTTAAATGTGTTTGTGTGGAAGCATAGATCAGTCATTCGAGGACTATTTGATTTTCAGAATAATACTACTAGTTAATGAAGTATTTTGCGTACTGGGATGATCTTCAGAAAGCAATGGCCATAAGAATTTGCCAAATACCAATTGAAGATATAGATAAAAAACTTAACAATATTTGATTTTAGGAATAATACTACTAGTTAATGAAGTATTTCGCGTACTGGGATGATCTTCAGAAAGCAATGACCATAAGAATTTGCCAAATACCAATTGAAGATATAGATAAAAAAAACTTAATATTAACGAAGAAGAAAATTATGATCATCTCAATGTACTAAGAAGTATTTAAACTAGCAAAAGGCTTTATAAAGTGTTTGGTACTAATAGTTGCTTCTAATTTTGATCTCCATTTTTCAAGTCTACCTAAATGACGAAGCTTGATGAAAAATTTATGTGTGCATTATCAATATGTTCTGTCTAAATTTGTCTTTATTTATTGCAGGATACATCCAATCTTCCGCCATTTCAGCCTGGGTGGTTAAATAAAGTTGAGGATGGATTGAGAACAACATTATGGGATCAATCTGGAAAAGCCTGGCGATATCTGTTGGATGAAATATCTGATGAATCTAAGCCAGAAGAAGTTGTAGTTGCTGTTGGTCATCCTGCGATCCACATAGCACTAATGGGGCACTGCCTTAATTTGACGAAAGAATGGTTGGGATCATTTCATCTTGATGCTGGGAGCGTTAGTGTCCTTGACTTCCCGGATGGGCCTAAGGGAAGAGGCGTCATCAGGTGCATAAATTACACTGCACATTTGGGGAGATGGTCCATCCCTATTACAAGATCAACAGAGGATGGTGAAGAGTTTTAACTTGAAATGACACCCAGCACCCAATTGTAGAGTTTCAGAGGTTCAATGTGATCATGATTGTTAAATTTTAAGGCATCATAGTAACAATGAAATCCTAGTCTTACTCAGGGTGTGTCCTGGGATGGGACAATGCAGTTTTTCCTTCCAGGATAATATACATCACCTCAAGATATAGCTTTTACTTAGCGTGTTGTGTGCAGTTCATAACACCAATCATCCAAGATCACTGTCAGTTGTCCTGTATTTTTAGTTTCTAAGAGCAAATTAAAATATTGGTGCGATAAACCACTTGATGATTGCAAATTAGAGAAATGCTACTAGTTATTAGCAAATAATGGTACACAAGAAGAAAATTTTGACAGAATTCAGTTGAATTTGTGAAGATGCAAAAGATAGTTATTTGATGAATGAGGTAAAAATCACTCCATTTATTAGAAGTTATTAACAATATCAATTTGTTAGTGACAAAAAAAAATGTGTCTGTTTAATATTTTCTTCAATTACGTGAATCATCGGATTTGACTCGGATAGAATCACATAACACAATTGTGTTGTCTTACCATTGTATAATTGCAAAAATGTTGTTTTCTAGATTCGAACCCATAACCTTTCAGTTATGAAGGATCAATTCTATCACTTTTCCGATTCACCCCCTTTTTATCAGTTAAGATAAAACAATAACTTATTAGTTGATTCACGTGCTTAGTGATTCCTTAGGACATGTTTGATGTACAAGATAGAATAAAGCCTAATAATATAAGACATTAACAAAAATGTTTAACAATCAGGGCATGTACACATGGTCACAGCCATGCTGCATAAACAAAATATATGGCTTATGAGGATGTGAAGCAAAGTCCAGTGGTCAATTATAAATATCCTGATGGGGCGTTTGGTTCAGGAAATTTTTTTGAAATAGTAAGGAAATGAGATAGATAGAAAAATGATTGGAAAGATAGATAAAGTGAGATAGGTAGAAAAATGTAAAAAAAAGTTGTTTGGTGGGGAAAAACCTTACTGGAAAAATTAGGTAATTTTATGAAATCAACAGTGCATTAAAAGTCAAATAACCGATTTTCCGAAAAATCCCACATTCAAATTGGGTTTCTAAACAGTGCGGATATCTATGTTTCTCATAAATCCAGACAAATTGGATAGATGGATTTTTGGTGAAAAACGATGAAACAAACATGGTGTTTCTAAAAGCCATACTTGAGAAAGATAGATCTCCGCTGAAAATCTCCCAACCAAACACCACCTGAAGGCAATCATCAGCCATTTTTCTTTTATTTTTTTTATTTGAGTTCCTAGTTCAGCTGTACACTTTAGCAGTTGCCTTATCAACTTTGGCAACTCCACTAGGAAAACCATTTTGATACTGCAAATCCACACCAAACAAAACCTTAAAATAAGAATGTAATTGTCTGTTACTGTTATAATATATTACTTGCCTCTATATAATCTAAAATTATTCACAGTATAAAAAACAAAAAGTGAGGATAGGGCAGAAACATATTCTCATGACAGGAAAAAGTGACATGGATAAAGCAAATTATATCTTACAGAAGATGAAATAGGAACAAATGGACTGTCACGCTTTTTTTTTGTTTTGATAACAGGACTGTCACGCTTTACATCTTACGCTTGAGGGTCATAGAAAATTCATCTGGAAACAAGAACCAACGTCAAGAGAAAAACAAACATATTATTCAAATTGAAAAATAAAGTGGACCTAATATAAAAGGAACACCTTTCGTTTAGAGCATTCCGAATTTCACTCTTTCTGATTTTCCCCTTATATTTGGCATCTAAGATTCTAAATCAATGAATAGATTTTCTACTAACATGGCAAAATCATCCTCGTCTTCTAACAACAAACGGAGAGTACTTCCATCCAAGATTGACAAGGTGGGGAAGAAAGGAAAAAAAAAATTAAAAAAATAGAAGGGTGACGAAAAAGGAAGATGAAAATAGATTAACTTAGTGGGATAAATGGGTCAGCGGTCTATCAGTGCCTATCGTCTAGCCCATTTTAAAAAGCCCGACATAACAGTGCGCAGGCTTGCCTTTTAATTTTTTTTAATAATATAATAAATTTGTTATATATATATTGTTCACTTGAAGGTATTTTCTGAGATTACGAGTCGTAACACTAATTTTCAAAGTAATAGAATTGATCAGTGTTATAAAACCTGACTAGCTCGACCCATAATCAGATGAACTGGTTCGGTTCGAGTCAAGCATCGGATCGACAATGTATCAGACCCAGTTAAAACCCGGCCAAAATCGGTGACCCGGTCGGGTCATGCAATTGAGTAATTTTTTGTCATATTTAGTGAAACTTGTTTAACTCATTTTAGATATGGAGAATATAATTAAATTTATATGTTCATATTTTTATATATATTTATATATATCCGGGTTAATCGGTCCGACTAGTGACCCAATACCTCAACCGGGTCGATGTCTGGGTTGGGTTTAATCACACTGGGATTGATGTTACTTTAGCAAATAATAAACATGGGAGAGATTATACTTACTACCTCTTACTACAAAATCTTAGCCGTTGATTTTCGTTAATCTAACGGTTATAATTTATTGAAAATTAATAATTAATTAATAAGTATAACTCAATAAATTACAACCGTTAGATTGACGGAAATCAATAGTTAAGATTTAGTAGTAACAAAAAAAGATAGTAACTATAATCTTCCCAATAAACATTTATTTAAAATTTAAAATATAATATTAAATTAAATTAGTTAAGAAAGTGTAATATATATATATATATATATATATATATATATATATATATATATATATATATATATGGGAAAATAATATCTTATGTCATTGTAAATCAGTAACCGTTTCCTACCCTCACAAAAACATACGTGGGTCCCACTTTTTTAACTTTCTCTCACCTCTCTTTTCTCTCTCCTCCCTATGTTTGTTTGTGCAGGAAACGGTTATTGTTTTACAGTAACATAAGAGATTGTTTTCCCTATATATATATGTAGGTAAAATCATATCTAAAGTTGTTGTACGTGCAACAATGATAGGTGTATGGTTATATTCCCCACATTTAATGCTTTCACCTTTTATATGGTTATGATTCCCCACATTAAATGCTTTAACCTATATATACGTAAAGCGGCTGTAGAGAAATTGAACTCATTATATATATGGGGGGGATTTGGGTCCTCTCATATGAAAAAGTGATCATATTATTTGATCACAACTATTTATTTTGTTAAATAGCAAGAGAAAAGAGAGAAACATTTGAAATATTTCTGCGTGTATTGACTCATGAAGGTTGTACAATATATAAACAGACTAATGGGCTAAGCCCAAACCTAATGTAATCTGACCTAATACAAAATAAGGAAACCTTAATTACAAAATAAGGAAACCCTAATTACAATATATTTCTATCACTCCCCCTCAAGCTGGAGCGTATAGGTCATATGCACCAAGCTTGTTACATATAAACTCTATTCGAGGGCCCCTCAAAGATTTTGTAAACACATCTGCTAATTGCTCATTAGAGGGTACAAAGCTAGTTTTAATTTCACCAGCAAGAACCTTTTCTCGAACAAAGTGTCAATCTATTTCTATATGCTTGGTTCTTTCATGAAACAGTGGATTTGATGAAATGTGTAGAGCTGCTTGATTATCACAAATGAGAGTTGTCTGTCCAGTGTTTCCAAACTTAAGTTCTCTAAGAAGCTGTTTAAGCCAGATGAGCTCGCAAGTAGTAGTCGCCATGGAGCGGTATCCTGCTTCAGCACTTGATCTGGCAACTACGCTTTGTTTCTTACTTTTCCAGGAAATCAAGTTGCCTCCAACAAAGACACAATACCCAGAAGTAGATCTCCTATCAGTTGGACAACCAACCCAATCAGCATCACAGTAGCCAACCACTTTATCATGACCTTTATCTTCATATTCAAGGCCTTTCCCTGGAGATGCCTTGATATACTTAAGAATACGAATGACTGCATTCCAATGTTCTTGACATGGAGAATTGAGAAATTGACTGACAACACTAAATGCAAAGGAAATATCAGGCCGAGTGACTGTGAGGTAGTTCAATTTTTCAACCAATCTTCTATACTGCTCAGGATCTGAAAAGGGCTCCCCCTGATTTGGTAGAAGCTTGATACTTGGATCCATAGGAGTATCAACAGACTTTGAATTTAACAGAGTAGTTTCTTCAAGAATATCCAGAGCATATTTTCTCTGAGATATCACAACACCAGCTTTAGATTGGGCCACCTCGATTCCTAAGAAGTATCGAAGTTTCCCAAGATCCTTAGTCTGAAAATGATGACATAAGTGTTGTTTCAATCGAGTGATCCCATGATGATCACTGCCTGTGATGATAATATCATCCACATATATCGCCAGATAAATAGGTCCAGAAGCAGAATGACGATAAAAGAGAGAATGATCAGCTGCACTCCGAGTCATGCCAAATTGTTGAACAACACTGCTAAATTTACCAAACCAAGCTCTTGGAGATTGTTTGAGGCCATAGAGAGACTTACGAAGACGACAAAAAAGACCCGACTCCCCCTGAGCAACAAATCCAGGAGGTTGCTCCATATAAATTTCTTCCTCAAAATTACCATGAAGAAAAGCATTCTTGATATCCAGTTGGTAGAGAGGCCAATGACTAACAGCAGCCATGGCAATAAAAAGGCGAACAATAGACATTTTCGCCACAGGAGAAAAAGTATCAATAAAATCCAAGCCAAAGACCTGAGTGAAATCCTTCGCCACCAAGCGAGCTTTAAGACGATCCACTTGACCATCAGGTCCAACCTTAACAGCATAAATCCATCTGCAAACAACCACAGATTTTCCAGAAGGAAGAGGCACCATGTCCCATGTGCCATTATGATGAAGAGCACTCATTTCATCAATCATAGCTTGTCTCCATCCCGAATGTGAAAGTGCATCACCTGTGGTCTTAGGAACAGATACAGAGGACAAAGAGGAAAGGCAAGCAAAATATGATGGAGAAAGACGATGATAACTAATATTGACTGTATACCTGGCCGGAGAGCGAGTATCACGAGTACCCTTACGAAGAGCAATGGGAAGGTCACTATCCGAAGGTGGGACTGAAGCCGTAGGAGGAGATGCAGTTGAATGTGAGTCCACAGATACATCTGACGAACTATGCTCGATCTCATCAGCAGAAGAGGTGATAGAAGGAGAGTCAGAAACATGGACGGGTAAAGACGGAAGGTAAAGAAGGTCACTTGGGAAGGATGACTGTACAGAATCAGTATCCACAGGAGTAATAGAGGTTCCAAAAAAGGGAACTGATTCAAAAAAAGGAGACATCCGCCGAGATAAAGTATCGACGTAAAGTGGGAGAGTAGCAACGATAACCCTTCTGAGACCGAGGATAACCCAGAAAAACACATTTATGAGACTTGAGAGCTAATTTATCCAAACCTGGACCAAGATGATGAACAAAACACGTAGAACCAAACACATGTGGAGTTAAAGGATATAAAGCTTGATGGGGAAATAAAATAGAGTGAGGTACCATATGCTTGAGAACATATGATGACATGCGATTAATGAGATAGCATGCAGTAAGTATAGCATCACCCTAGAATGTGTATGGAACATTACCATCAATTAACAAGGCACGAGTGGTTTCAACCAGATGATGTTTGTTGCGCTCGGCTACATCATTTTGTTGAGGTGTATGAGGGCAAGATGTTTGATGAAGAATGCCATGAGATGAAAAGAATTGTTGAAATTGATGAGATAAGTACTCACATGCATTATCACTATGAAAAGTACGAATAGGAATACCAAATTGAGTTTTTATTTCATTATAAAATAACTGAAAAATAGAAAACAACTCAGACTGCTTTTTCATTAAAAGTAACCAGGTACATCTGGAATAATCATCAATAAAAGTAACAAAGTACTTAAAACCCAGAGTAGAAGAATGACGACTTGGTCCCCAAACATCATAGTGGACCACAGAAAAAGGAGAAACAGCTTGACGACTAAGACGACTCAGAAACGTACTACGAGTATGTTTCCCAAACTGACAAGACTCACAATTTAAAGTAGAAATAGACGATAAATGGGGAACCATCTTCTGAAGCTTTGCAAGACTAGGATGGCCCAGACGAGCATGGATAATAAGAGGAGAATCCACAGTGGAGCAGGCTGAAGAAGAGGGAACTAATTGATAGAGGCCCTGAGACTCACATCCTTTGGTAATCTCCTTACCCGAACTCCGATCCTGAAAGATGACAGAGGTTTTAGTAAAAGAAACAACACAGTCAATGGATTTGGTCAACCGACTAATAGAAAGTAAGTTAAAAGGAGAATCGGGAACATATAGAACATGATCCAGAGATAAATTAGGTAAAAGAAGAATCGTGTCAATCCCCCTTGATTGGACCAGAGACCCATTGGCCATAGTAATAGTGGGAAAAGAACCAGTAGTACAAAGGGAAGTGAATAAAGACTTATTACCAGAAATGTGATCAGAAGCCCCAGAATCTAGAGTCCAAGGGCCAATAGAGTGCAACTGAGATATGCCAGCAAAAGAATTACCAGAATTACCAGTGGGAGCAATGGATGCAGTAGGACCTGATGTTTGCTTCTCAGACCACCAAGTCACAAAAGCTTTTGCCTGACTCCAAATAGCTTCACAGGTAACGACAGGTCGAAAAATCTGCTTGATAGACGGATGAAGAGTAGCTTTAATGAGACTACACAACTGAGCATCAATCATCTTCCATTGTGTGCGTTCATTTTCCGCCACAGATTCAGCCTTAGTGGTGAGATGGGATGTATAATTCTGCCCATCCAACCAGAGTCGCAGATCGAAAGACCAAGTATCATAATTGGACCCA